AGGGAGACTGAATCAATTAGTGGTCTTAAGGAGGTTTATCTGATTTGGAATTGACGAACAAATATTCATAAAAAAATTAATATAAGCTTATTAATATGAAGAAAATCCTCAAAAAAAATTATGACTAGTTTGGATACCTACGAGATATTAATAAAATAATTTCTCACGATTTAGTACAGTCTTATGAGAATGCAAATTGTTTTGGTCNAGAAATAAGAATCACGTTTTTTGTGTAATCGGCACGCTATTCTTATTTTTTACTTCTTTATAAAAATTACACTGTCACTATCGTGGAATTACAAAATAAAAACTTTTGTCTGGAATCTTTTACTTTTTAACACTGATGGGTCGATGGACGATGCTTAATATTTAATAATTAAGTGAATAATGAATTCAATAAAACAAAATCAGTTGACTGCACACATTTTTTGACAATGTGTGGACCTTCTTTTAGTATTACTAGTATTAGATTATACCGACTTAAATTATAAGGTTGCATCTCGGGGCGCATAAAGACATTTCCAAAGTTTTTAATAAATAACACAGGATCGGCCTTCATTTTTATAGATTATTATACACGCCACACCCTGTATGTATAATTTTGTTCTATTAATATTTATGAATCATATTTGCAAGGGGTCACATAAAAAAGTAAAATGAAGAAATAGTAAGATCTCTCTGTCATGGCTGTTTTTAGTGTCGATTTTTGTAACGGATTGGTATAACAACCAGAATAAAGTCTTTCTTTGAAACGTCACATTATTTCAGTGTTATTAAAAATGGAGCGCTAGAAGAAAGAACAACGCGTTTTCAACAACAATTTGTTAAACAATTTTTTAAAAATAATGAAGGTTTGGCAGATGCAGTTGGAAATTTTCGTACAAAATATAGCTGGAAGAGTGTTTTAACTTCGTCAACTGTAAAGAGATGTATTGAAAATTTCAGGGAAACTGAATCAATTAGTGGTTTTAATAGTCCAAGAGCCTGCGGTTCATTTTAGTGACAAAAACGTCGTAGATACGTTCAATTCTCAAAATATTGTTGATCAGCTTGAACAGCTGAAAGCTATTCCTTCGGCGCGTGTTCATCTGAAGCTTGTTTTTATAACATACACGTTTTATACCATCATTAAAATCGGTTTCACGTTTGGTACCTATTAAAAAAATTTTACCTGTTTATATGAACAGTGGAAGCGTTTTCCACCTGCATTTTTTCAGCTGAACGTAATTTTTTTATCATTTATTATTATAAACAAAGTATACAAACAATTTCAGCTTTGGTACTATTAATTTTTTTTACATTTATCAACGCGGTGGTGGCCCTATTACTCCAACCCTCACCCGAAGATTGGCAGCTGAAGGTCGTTTGGTTCATGTACCATGAACTAAGATCTCACATATGTGTGAAAATCAGCCTTGGTAAAATGACTACTTTCAAAATGCCACAGGCTCTCGGACTATAAACACTCTGTCCGTCCTTCAACAAATCGTTCAATACAAAACATCGAAGTTTGTGAGAGTGTTGCTGAGAGTCCAGGAACGTTAACTCACCACCGGTCAAGAATTGGACATTCCGAAAGCTGTCTACAGTGTGGCTCATTTTCATCTTGATGGCTTCGTTAATCGACAAAATTGTAGCATTTAGGGTTCAGAAAATCCACGAGTGATTGTTGAGAAACAAATACATCCACAACCTGTCACTGTTTGGTATGGATTTTGGGCTGGAGGCATCATCGGGAAAATGCGGCGGGTCAGGCAATAACAGTTAATGGTGCTCGCTATCGCGACTTGGCAATCCAGTTTTTTGTGCCTAAATTGCAAGATATGGATGTAGTTTCAACAAGACGGTGCCACATGCCATATAGCCCGAGAAACAATTCAATGAGTCGTTTCCTGGTCGTGTAATTTCCCGTTTTCATGAAGTATGTAGTTGTTACCCGTAATATAAACAATTGGACGTCTTATCTATGCATACATAGATTTTTGGTATCAAAGCTCTACATCTTTGTTATAGATAGACAAAAAATGCATCGCTTTTAAGTATTTCACCGACTATTTTATTGAGTTTTCAACTTACGCACTATCACCTAATCGACATCAATTATAGTAATTGCTGTCATATTTCCAATATGTAAATTTGACGGCAATGCTAACATAATAATTTATTGTGGGGTCGCGACATTTTCGCTAACGGTCGTATATATTCTAATAGCTTGTCTATATACATATGTACATAATTTGTGCGACACATGCCTCATTTATTGCTAACAATTATTGGTAAATACTGTTCGATAAATAAACAATTAAGAATTAAATGTACACAAGCTCTGACGCTATGATTATTAGAAACCGGTATAATTAATTTGTGAAAAAAAAATGAAGGGTAACGAATTATATGAATAGAGACTTCTTGGTGGGATAGATTTGGCCTTGTTGGTTGTAATGTGAACGGGTAACGCTTAAACTAGGTACGTATTGACAGCGAACGAGTTGGTGAAAAATACAAGAAGGGGTAATTAGATTTAACGCAACTGATTTAGTAAGGATTTAATCGTAAGCAGCAGGACTTCTATTTTTTTAAAAATTTTTTATGATTCCTTTGAGACTATGCAACGTAGAGAGAAAGATCACCAGCGTTTTTACTTATACAGGGTGCTTTGAAAATAGTTGAGGAAAATGAAGGGTGTGATTCTTTGGCTCATTCTAAGAAAAACAGTTCTTATTAACACGAGTCCGAAAACGCACCGTTTTTGAGATATAGGGGTGTCAAAAAAAATTTTTTTTTCAGTTTTTTCACGATATCTCAGGAGACGGTTGAGATACAAAAAAAAAATAGTACATGTATTATTATTAATATTAGCTACGTTTAGGCGCTAATTGCGTGATGTTCTTTTTCTCCTAACTTTTACACCTTCGGGAAAATTGGCATTTCGAAAGCATATTTTAAACCGCCAATATTTTCTACACAAAAAAGGTACTCATCATCAAAAGCTCTAACGCGGACCGTGTTCAAGATAAATGACGTTTTGTGATGGAAAATATGAAAGAACAAAGAACCCAGACTATAGTTCCGATCAAAAGAACACGGTATTGTATTGAGGTTATGTTACACCATTAAATAATTTATCTCTATAAAACTCGTTATGACATTTCAAAGTATTAGTCTTTTTCTTCAAAATCCATTTTGAATTGTTCGAATATCAGTTTCCCTCTCCGATAAATTATTTGTTGGAATTTATTAGATTGGCGATTTCGTCTATATTCGGACTTTCCAAGGCTATCCTGTATTAGAGCTTTTTTTGCTTGGAAATGAGACTATCCGGTTATAAAATCTATGGTGTTACAATTTTCCCCCTTCGAAATTCGACCTCGAATTTGTTCCAAGTAACTCTCCTCAACTGATGTGGTGTTATTTGTCGACATGCTTGTCTAATTCTATTACATAAATCTTAATTCAATTAATAATCGGGCCCTTCATTTTTAACGTTAATCTAAAAGCACAGATTTTTTTCTATTTTTTAAATAATGATTTCTGGGATTCAGTACATACACTACCTCTTCAAGACAGAACCTTTACCTTCAACTAGCTGGACCACCTATTCATCATGCGGTAATAGTAAGTCATTGGTTGAATGAGAATTTCCCGAGAAAGTGGATAGGTCGCAACAATCCGTTAGTTGAGTGGCCGTCAAGAGCTCCAGACTTGACGCCTCTCGATATTCTTTTATGGGGAACTTTGAATAAGGTTTATTAAACAAGACCCCAGAAGATTTATGTAATAGAATTAGACAAGCATGTCGACAAATAACAGCACATCAGTTGAGCAGAGTTATTGGAAATAAGAGCAGACGAATTGAAAGTGGACTAATAGAAAACAGTAATATTTAAATTTTATTTCGTTGTGAAAATCATTTCTGGTATAATAAAAAATATATATAATTTGGCTGTCCTATTGTGAGCACCCTATATGAGTGAAATCAATGAAACTGCATTGATATACCTACGGTTAATAAAATTATGGGAAAATACCTTGAAAATATTTTCCATTGTTAATACAAGACACTGCAATGAGGGAAATTTTTCGAAGTTTGTACCTATTTTGTGAACACCCTGTAGAGCTATAATAAAGAAACTTTGAATTTAGGGTTTTGATCAAATCGGAAATGCTTTCCATTTCTTTCTTAAAAAAATGCCTAATATTTTTTTAATTTTTGAGGGTCATAATGATAGTAGGCCGTAGAAAAGATCACATATCAAAAAATTTAATATCAAAAAGTAGGCCTTTTTGATCCTAAATATGGAGGTGTCCCGACTTTAAGTGAAACACATTGTATAATTTTCTTCTATAAATTTCCTGTATTATTAGACAACATTTCTTCGTTTCTAAATTCTAACATTTTGTGTTATTCAATCCGACATATTGGATCCGCCGTTTGGAATTTTGTCATTCTGACTTTAGATTCGTAATCAGCGACCACAAAAACGTGAAAACCATGGGAATTTTGGTGTTTGTGATTGATTTTTCTCTTCACCTGATGTTCAGTTTCCGAATATTGACAATGCGCCTAACGCACCAATTTGAACAGACGATTTCTCGGAGAGGAAATAAGGTATTCGAACGATTCAAAATGGATTTTGAAGGGGAAAAGTAATACTTTCAGACGCCATAACCAGCTTTGCGGAGAAAACTACTTCAAATGTAGCAAAAAAAAACACGGATTTCACATTTTTAGGTTAGAATTTCTTTACCTGACTGGGATAGAATTCATCGCGTCAAAAACCTTAACAAAAGTATAGCTCGGCATATGGTTTTAGATTTTGTCTGCCTGTGTTATTAATAAAACATTCATGCAGTGCTTTAGCAATAGTGGACACTGTTTCAAATGACGATCTTCGAGAACCATTGTTTCCACTTGTACATTTGGTTATTTCTCTCTAAATTTTCGGTAATTTGGAAATCATGAAAATATTTAACAATTTTTTTCTCGTCTTTTTTTCAGGATGAACACCCAAGCGCACTTGCCCCAGATATCCGACGAATACGTCTACCTCTTCCTACATGCTTGCTACTACTCTCATGAAAAAACAAAAAGCGCTATTGACAGTTACTTCACCATCAGGGCGAACCACCCCTCTATATTCGCCGACAGAGACGCTTACTCCCCTAGGATGCAGACTGTACTGGACTTGGGGTAAGTGTTTTTTAACACTCTTGCAAACACATAAAGCTGTTTTCATTTTGGCCATGAAAATTTTGATAAATGCAGCAGAGGTAGTCCGACTATATGCCAATCAGGTGTGATATCTGTGGCTTAAAATGCAAGAATATTGATGTAATTTGAAACAGAAATTTTAAATTGCGTTTACCTTACAAGTAATAGTTTACATAAGTGTTAAAGTAGAATGTTCAACTTAGCAGTTGGTAGTATAGTTATATTGCCAAAAGGGAACACTTTATATAAAAAAAATATTGAAATCCATTTTTTAAATGCGGAAAAAACAATAAAAATAAGAAAAATTCCCGATATCTCTCAAATTATTTATTTACTACACCTTCCAACAGATGAATTATACAGGGTGTCGCGGTACTTGGTACAAAAAAGACGAGTACAGATAGATGAGGAGAAATTAATGTCAGTTCTTCGTATACATTTTTTTCATATGGGCCTTCGTTAACAAGTTACGGGCCCCAAAGCTGAAAATTAAAAAATTATTTTGTTTACAGTCTCTAAACCATTAACTTCAGCATGATGCAATTTTTTTTATCGATAACATATGCGTACAACTTGTTTTCATGTTGTAAGTGAAACTTCAATATGCCCAAAACGTCAGGGACGGACTATGCCCAATGGTTAACAACCCAAAATTTTTGCATAGATGACGATCGCAATCTGCCTGTATCAAAAATAAGTTTTCTAAAGAATTTGCCATCGATAATACCCTCTACGTTCAACTCGGTAAAATTAACAGATTAAGAAATATTTGTGATTTTATGTCACAGTGCACATCGAGCGACGCCTCCACCATTTTTAATTGTAATTAATTACTATGCTGGAAGCATAAAAATGTTTAAAATAAGAACCTAGAAAATCTTACTGTCTGCTAATGTAATTTTCGTTAACAAAATTTGGTAAACACACTTTACACATATCACAAAATAAAAAAACAATACAAGGAAAAGTTAAAGTTAAAAAAATAATTTAAAAGAAAGGAAATTATCAAAATATATTTTCAATATGGACACCTTCCACCTCCACATACATCCTAAGGCTACGAATGTTATTTGTTTGTACACAAAAAGGGGTAATAATTTAATAGGGCCATACGTTTTTGAGGAACGTCTGAATGGACATCGATATTTGGAGTTTTTGCAAAATAACTTGCAGCTGCTATTAGACGATGTTCGATTAGACACCCGAAGAAACGTTTGGTTCATGCACGATGGGGCTCCTACCAATTTCAATGTTGATGTACGAAATTATTTATCCATTGTGTTTAATAATAAATGGATTGGGAGAGGAGGCCCAATTTCATGGCCAGCACGTTCTCCAGACTTTAATCCAATAGACTTCTTTCGTCGGGAAGTTTAGTGTACGCAACCCCAGTACAGGCAAGGGATGAATTGCTACAAAGAATTAATTTCCATTGTGATAATATACCCAGAAATGCTTTTTCGTGTATAAACAAATAACATTCGTAAACTTAGGAAGTGTGTGGAGGTGGAAAGTGCCCATATTGAAAATGTATTTGATAGTTTTCATTCTTTTAAATTTTGTTTAACTTTAAATTATTTTTGTTTTGTTTTGTTTTGTCAAATTTTGTTACTAAAAATTACATTAGCAGACTCTAAGATTTTCTAGGCTCTTATTTTAAAAATATGTACGGTTCTAACATAGTAATTATTTCCAATTAAAAATTAAAAAGAAAAAAATGGTGGAGGCGCCGCCGCTGTTAATTTTACCGAGTTGAACCAAGAGGGCATTATCGTTGGCAAATTCTTCAGGGAACGTATTTTTGATACAGGCAGATTGCGATCGTCATTTATGCAAAAATTCTGGGTTGTTAACCATTGGGCATAGTCCGTCCCTGGCGTTCGGGGCATAGTGAGGTTTCACTTACAACATCAAAAACAAGCTGTACGCATGTGTTATCGATCACCAAATTTGCATCATGCTGAAGTTAATAGTTTAGAAACTGTCAATAAAAATAACTTTAATTTTCACCTTTGAGGGCCCGTAACTTGTTAACGAAGGCCCGTATGAAAAAAATTTATATGAAGAACAGATATTATTTTCACCTCACTTATTTGTACATAATCGACTTTTTTGTATCAAGTACCGGGACACCCTGTATAATAATTGTAGTAACGATAATAAAACATTACATAACAAACTTAAGACATATTGTAAAGCATCAGAAGAGTGAAACTAAATCACAAATAAATGATGTGTCACATTTATTGTAACTACATTTTAGTGAAATATGTCTATGGAATCTTGATACTGATTAGTGATTATACTTGATGTAGAGGAGAACATTCCTCAACATTTGTGGATCTATTAATGTGAAGGTCATTTGCTATTGATCAGTTCATTTAGATACATAAAAATGCAATATTTGTTGAATATCATAGCAATAAATACTAATAGTGATCAAAATTTTATGTACATAAATGTAATTTTCAAGACCATACGTATATTCCAATCGCCTTAACCAAAATTGTATTTAAAGACGGCATTAATTCCGAAATCCACAATTTTTTGTATGTGGCTAGTTTTTTTGCTAGCAGATGAAGAAAAAAAATGTTCTGCACGGGAGCGGACCGGAAAAATTCGGGAAATGGCCGGAAAACTACAAAAAAACTTATTTCGTGAATAACTTAAAAAGTATTAGGAATTCCACAAACGTGCAAAGGACCAATGCTGTAGAGCATAAAATTCTCTATAAAAAAGGTATGTATGATATTTTTGAGAAAATCGAATCCCATATTATTAATTTTTTATTAAGAAAGTTTGGGATGACGTGACCCAATTGAGATGCAATTTCTCTGGCAGTCAATCGGCAATTTGACATTCTGAACAGTGGGAGTCATCAGTTGAAGTCGAAGATCTTCCTGGTCGAGGATCACTTCAACTGACTGACGACCACTTTTAAATTGTGAAAACCATTTCTAACTTTCCGTACGACCCAGAGAATCATCTCCGTAAGCTTATTTCAAAAGTTGAAACGTCTCCGTGAAGTTCCCCATTTTAAAATATGAAGAAATTGATTTGGTTAAACCTTTATTTGAAACTTTTTTTTTAATATCATTGACATTACTATGGAAGGATTTGTTATACGGGACACCTTGTATTAAATACATTTAGTTATATTAATATGTTATAGTTTTCACATATGTATGTACATATGTATCAAATTAGACGTCGGTAGAAAGTGCTACGTCTAGAGATAAATTTATTTTTAACTTGTTTTTTTTTTTCGTAGTAAGTAGTCTACTCGTAATTTTACATTATTTATATAAAGAGTGATTTCACTTTAAATTTTGAGATTACGAGAATACATAGATGTTTTATAGAAAAATAAGTACACTTTGCTTTAAAAACTTTTGTATACCGAAGCTTTGCTTTCGAGGAACATTTTGGAAAAAGTGAATATCTTTTCTTATATCTCAAGAATCTACCAATATAAATGGATTTAAATAAAATTTGGTGCAACCTATAAAGAAAGCTGTCATTGTTTTGAAGATACAGGGTGTTAAACTTTTGCAAAAAAAAATTGATATTTCGTAAATATCTTAAATACCCCTTACCTACCCAATTTTGTTATAATTTGGCAGTGTTATTTGTAGTGTTAAGAGGCTAATTTAACCCTAACTTGATTAAATTTATTAAGTCCAGTGGCGTCCCAAGCGATACCTTAGCGAATATTTTTGACAAAAAAAATGTACGCCACTGACTTTTTCGTAATTTTTATATTTTTTTGAATTAAGCAACCAAAAATACAATTTCTTTGTCACTCGAATGTTTTTCGTTTCCAAAAATTAATTAATTTTTGGAGAAAAAAATTAAATCCATTTAATTGCATATCCCTGGACCACACAAGAAATATGGGGAAAAAATAGGAAATAATCATAAAAATATTTGTTCAGGTACCACTCGGGACGCCACTGAACTTAATAAATCTAATATCAAATTGGGGTTAAATGAGCCCCTTAACACTACAAATAACACTGCCAAATTAAAACAAAATTGGGTAAAGGGTATTTAAGATATTTAGGAAATAGCATTTTTTTTACAAAAATTTAACACCCTGCATCTTCAAAACGAAGCATCTGCGGACCAATGTTTATATGAACCTTTTGTTTTAAAATCACTCAAATAATCGTCTGTTGAATTTATTGTACATACTTAATTAACACCCTGTATATTGTCCACTTCATTTACCCGACTTAAATCCATTGAATTATTTTGTCCGGTAAGCTCAAAGGTAAGGTTTAACCAGTATAAAATCGAGACAAATTTTTAGATTTAATTTGAATTAACTAGCACTTTTTAAAGTTAAAATACAGATGCTAATATTAAAATACAGTATAAAATATTTACTTTTTTGTTGACTTTAACGCTCAGTGTATAGAAAGCTAAGTCTAAGGAGATCAAAATGTATGGAAGGTTTGTACAGAATTTTACCGCAAATTCTCTAAATGAAAATAGATCGATTTGCCGCATCTCACTTTAGTACAAAAGTTTATAATTACTGAGATACAGGGTGTCAGGAGCAGCCGTTTCCCAGAAAAATGCAATTATAGGGCGATTTAACTCAACTTACCTTAGTTCAAAATTGCTTTGTTAGGGCGCAATCAAACAAACTTCAATACAACTGCAAAATAAACAGTAAAAAAAATATGTGAATTTTATTAAATTATGTAAAAGCACTTTTAAGTAAATGTTCAAAACAACCACCGTTTTCATGTATGCAGAAATTAATACGATGAAGAAAATTAAACTGCACTCTGTATCATTTCCACATCTTGCTTTAAAATGTTCACTGAATTTTGAATACGTCTCCATAATTCCTCTTCGGCATTTCTGGGTTCTATCAATAAATAGTGAAGAAAATTGAAAATAAATTATTAACTTTGACGCCCGTGTCTCCGTATTTATCTACTTTTGTGCTAAAGTAAAATAAGGCAAAT